CAGTGACATGATATAGATAGTCGTTAACATTGGTGGATAAGCCTGTCACTCCTTTTGGCATCATGGAACTGCTCTGAGGTCTAATTAGGTCTCTGAATTTAAGAAGTAAAATTTGACGTGTATACAAGTGAGAAAGAATTTGGAGTAGGCGAAAATCTAGAGCGTTGTCTTTTCACAAAGCATAATGATGGATAAAACCCCCAAAGACGCTGCAGTATCTATAATAAATCAAAAACTCCCACAACTCTCTACGACTTGGGAAAGGTCACTCCAGGTATATTTTTTCTTAAATACATTATAAATATATGGGGGTGTTAGTGATTGATTGTTTTGCCATTTTGACTACACATTTTATCATTGACGCGAAATACTGAAAAATCACCCATTTCTACTGAATAAAATAGAAAAACTAATTCTTCAGTAAACTATCCATCCTCGACCTTTTCATCTATCTAACTGCCCCCGTTCCTCGTAGTGTTTAGTGAGTTTGCATGCGTGCAGGGAATTGCAAAGAACTGAACTGTTTCAAGTGTCCTATAGAATGGGTTCACATGTAACCAGTACCAGTGCCTTTTACCTTTTTTTTTGTTGACACCAATTTCATTAAGCTGTGTGTCATAAAAATTTGAGTTTGCAAAATTTTCACAGAACACTTTCTTTTTTCCTTGTTCCTATGCAGTACTTGAGGCTAATCCTTGGAGAGAGACGCCAAAATCTGTTTATGTATTAACTCACATGGAAAACCAGTTATGTACAATGAAAACTCGTCGAAATCGCAGGTGATTCGAGTTTCAATTTCTTTTTTATTATACAATTTTTCCTTTTTGGTCTTGCTCACAGTTTATTTTTAATACAGTGAAGTAGAAAGAGAGCTTGGAATTTTGTTTTCCAAAGGGGGAAAGAGGAGAAATCACTCCAAGCAGTCCGGGACTGGTAACAAATTTCAGATGCTTGTTGAGGATGTTCGAGAGGGCATACTTGTAAGTTGTATTAATATTGTTTGATTTCTTTTCGTTTTATATTCAAGGCTTTATTGAAAATTATGCTTTTGAACTTCTGCTAGATATTTAACAAAATGTGAAAGTACTTTTTTAAACGGCACAACAGTTACAGGCATTTTTTTGTCATCATTAAGGTTATATGTTATTATCTTGCAAAAAGTTGGATTTTGTTAATCGTACTCGGTATCCATCATGATTACACAAATTTCCCATCTAACATTAGAGATTAAATTCTAAACAGTCAGATTTCGCTAATCACGAGGAGACAGCTAATTTTATAAGTATTACACCTTGTCTTAGAGATATAGTAAATTTCTTAATATTTAGAAATAAAATCATGCTCTTAATCTTTTTTAAGAAATATAATATAACTAATCAAATATGCGTTGACCTTTGCTACCGCCCGCACCATAAATCTTAATCTTAAATCCACTACTTGGCAACCGGGGCGGACCCAGGGGGGTCCTGGGGGGGGGGGGGCCCCCCCCCCCCCCCCCCCCACACACACACACACACACATCCGTCCCTGACTAGATGGGCATGCGCGTTGCATTGAATCAGAGAATAGTAGATGCATAATCTTTTTAGAGTTGTACATGTGGTATGGTGGTATAATGTGATGAAGTGTGATGTATGAATTGGGTTGCAAAAGTGTGTAGGAATTGGTTGAGCAGCTGCTGAACCTGAATGTGGGATTAATGTAACAGAGGGCTGTTAGATGTATCTAACTTAATAATAGGGTAAAAACAATCGAGTTTAACTGATGTAACCCACCCTATCTTCTAATGACTAGTTGATTAGAAATTATGAGATTATGCTTCCTTGATGAGAGGAAGAAGCTACGGGAATGATAAAATTGGGTCTGTAATCTGTGGCACAAAATAAGGGCCAGTACCTTTATAATATTTTTGAAACCAATGCTGATCAATGTGTTAGAAACTACTCAAATGAAAGGAAAAAGATTGGGCTGTTAAGAGTTGAAGAAACTTTAAGGGTCTTCATGAAAATAATTGGAATTGGTTTTGCCAACAAATATTGGTTTGCTGATATTTTTTAGGAAAATTTAGTGAAAATGCTGAAAAACTGGAACAATGGAAGTGTAATGAAAAAGGAATTGGAATAAATGTTGAACTAAAGAGTTGCAATTAAAAAATCCTTCTCCATTGGTAAAAGCAAAGAACAAGAGAACATCGACAATTTAAGAGATGTGGAAATAATTAATGATTGAAAACCTTGGAACTGGTCCTCTGGATACAGGAATTTGACTCTTCTTGGAGTAGAACTTGGTGCAATATTTAAATTTCAGCAACATAGAAATTTGTAATCTTCCCCATGTGATGAATTGGAAGAGCATCATAGTATGATACAAGACAAAAATGGGATTTATAAACTCCCGTCCATGGAAAAAATCTTAAAAATCAAATGGCGTCATGCTTACCTAACAAATATAGGTCACATGTTTCTCAAGACTAGATATTGTCATGGAGGTGAATATAGTTCCCAGTATCCTTTCTCATGCATATATTTGAGCATGATGCAAGCTATGGGAACATGGAAAAAGATTTTACTATGGATAATTCACACGGAGAAGTACCACCCAAGTTTCTCAGCACTCTCTTTCTCTTGGTTCCCTCCTATAGTCTATCTCTCTCTTTTTCAAGTGAGATTCTCTCTTTAGCATTTTGTATTAATACCTGAGTTCTAAATGTGGCAAATATGTAATAAATTACACCAACTAAATCCGAACACACCCCGTAGTTATGCTGAGGTCATGTCGTTTGTTTGTTAAATTACATTGTACAAGTCAGCAAGAAATGTTGACTTCACAACAACAAATTAGGCGACTCAGTTTTTCATTCTTTGTGTTTTTTGTTTCCAGGTCTTCGAACTCCTTCGTGAGCAACTGTGGTACAGACCCAACTCTGGTATATATATCAAGCTAATTGTCATGCTTGGAAAATGTAAGCAACCTGAGAAAGCTCATTCCTTATTTCTGGCTATGATTGACGAAGGCTGCAGTGTGAACCATGAAGCATACACTGCTCTTTTGTCTGCCTACGGTCGAAGTGGTCTTTTCGACAAAGCATTTTCTATCCTTGAACAAATGAAGAACAGTCATGACTGTCGACCTGATGTCTTCACATACTCAATCCTCATAAAGTCTTGCCTGCAGGTTTATGACTTTGACAGAGTGCGTGATTTGCTTTCTGACATGGCAGTTCAGGGAATCAAGCCCAACACAATCACATACAATACTCTCATCGATGCCTATGGAAAAGCAAAGAGGTTATTCTCCTTTCCTATATTAATTTCAATGTGAATGCAATGAAAAAAGGTGGAAATGATATGAATGAATTGTTAAAAGGATTGTATGGTACCAAGATAGTGCAAAAGAAAGACTTAATTGAATTGAAATTCTATTTTAGAAATTTTCAGTTTTGGGTAGTAAGGAGGAGGAGAGGCTCCCGCCCATCAGATTCACAATTCACTTCTGTAGTTCCCAAGTCCCCAGAGTTCTGATCGCTACTTGTTTCTTTGAAATTGTTCCCTTTTTTCTTTGAAATATAATGCTGTTTTCTTCAAATTTGGATGACATATTGTGGAGTAATAGTAACTGAGGGAACTTGTTTATTGTCTTATTTTACTTATAGGTTCACAGAAATGGAATCCACTCTTGTACAAATGCTTCGGCTGCGAGAATGTGAACCCGATGCATGGACCATGAACTCCACCTTGCGAGCTTTTGGTGGCAGTGGGCAGATAGATATGATGGAAAAGTGCTATGAGAAATTTCAGAGTGCTGGGATTGAACCGAACATCAAGACGTTCAACATACTCTTAGATTCCTATGGGAAAACTGGAAATTATGAGAAAATGAGTGCTGTGATGGAATATATGCAGAAATATCACTTCTCGTGGACACTGGTAACTTACAATATAGTCATAGACGCGTTTGGTAGGGCCGGGGATTTGAAACAGATGGAATTTTTGTTTCGGCTGATGCAGTCTGAGAGGATAAAACCTAATTATGTTACTCTTTGTTCACTTGTAAGAGCTTATGGGAATGCTGGGAAAGTTGAAAAAATTGAAGCTGTTCTTCGATACATCGATAATTCAGATGTTATGCTCGACACTGTGTTTTTCAACTGCTTAGTGGATGCTTATGGGATGATGGGATGCTATGCTAAGATGAAAGGGGTGCTTGAGATGATGGAGAGAGGAGGATGTAAGCCTGATAAGATTACTTATAGAACCATGATAAAAGCTTATTCAATAGGTGGAATGACCAGCCATGCCAAGGAGTTCCAGAATAGACTTGCTTCACTATAAAATACTACACTTACCTTGGTATGTTTTGATCATGGGATTGGACATAGCTAGGACACTGGACAGCATTAGGAAATAAGAAGTTCAAATATTGTTCATCGTGTACTTCAATCCTGTTAATAATGCGTATCAAACACGCCCTAAAGTACACAACAGATTAACATTTGTAAATTATCACCATTTCTTATTTTTGTGCTATTAGAAATTTTTGGACAGTTTTTAGAGGAAGGGCATTGTATTTTACCTACTGAATCTGCGTGTAATTTTTGTTAATTATGAGCATCAGTTAGTGATTTATTCAAACCTTCTATTTCGAAGTTTCAGTTTTAAAGTTGCATTTAGAATTTGAATATCATCATCCGAACTCTCATCGAGAATCATTAACAGCTTTTCCTAGGAAGTTTGGACTCTGCCTTTTTGATATTCAAAAGTGGATGAATTTTCTGTTTGCAATTTTACATCATCGCTTTTAGTGTGTGAAATGACTGATGTTTAGACTCAACACCACCTAGAGGTGGCAATATGTGCATAATGCCAAATTAAAAATAACAAACAATAATAAACAACAAGTCACATATTACTGTTTCTAGCTAATTAAGTTTGATTCAGTTAAATCCTAATTATCAATCATGCGACATATATCAAAGCATAAAACTAAAATCAATACCATATATGGTAGGGAAGGAAAACCCCTTGAAGAACTCTTTATATGGGTAAAAATCCTCGGTGCAAGCCTTGGCAAAACGATTTATTAGAAAAAATAACTTATAGTTGATCCAGACATAACTAAACATTAGTATACTCTAACCACCCAACTTGTAAATAAATGAATGACTCTTCAATTGTGCCTCGTGTACTTTTTAGAACTTCTGGACTTCGTTTCCCTCCATATGGATCACCAAGAACGAACATCGTTCTCTAATTAGAACTCCAACTGCCTCTCCCAAACTTTAAAACTCTGAAAAATTATTGGTAAATGATTATTTTTTGGTGTTTGATATTTGGATCTTTTGTGTTTTGATCTTGTCATTGAGACGAGATTTATGGAATATGTATTTTTTTTCTCTGTAGGATCTTCTCTTGACCGAAATAAGGGCTCAACCAATTTCCAGAGGTGTTTGGCACGAACTATGACTTGGGTTTATATAACATGGAGTGTTTATTGTTGGTTGAGACTATAAAATCTGTTGAAAATCGCGACCTAGGATTGGTTGAATAATACGCTCGCTCGAGCGAAAGTCTTGCGGGTAGCGAGCGATCACATGTCTGCTCGAACGCTCATGGCCCAAACATCGAGTGGTCGAGTTAATGTTAAAACCACTCGAGCGGTTTCGCGTCGACTTTTTCTTAAACATACTCCCAGCCCCCGGCTCTTTAACCTTAATTACAGCTTAATAAACAATGATTTTGGATGTGGAACTGGCCAATACAATTTGAACTAACAGTGTAGGCTGTTGTTACTATTGGTACATTTATGCACAATTAATTTTTAGCTTTTTTTTGGGCTCCATTTTAGAAAAAAATGCCTTTTTCTCCTTCTTATTTTTAAATGAAACATACTCCAATAAAATAATATTACACGTAAACCTAAAATTTTCTTTATTTTTTAACCACTTATTCTCTAAAAAATCATTATTTGAAAATATATTTCGTTTCCAAAATCTATTTTTAATGGAGCCCAAGGGCTTAGTTTTTTTTATTTGCTTTATCTGTTCTCATGTTGTACATTTCAGTATGTTAAACGAACGGTAAGACATAAGTGTGCATAGTTGCATCACATTAGGTAACTATCATAGTGATAGCTTTTTTTTTTTTTTCTTTTTTTAAAAATTACATCAACTTTTTATTATTTTTCTTGATCGCTTGTTTCTCCTTTCAATGTCCATGTTAGTAAAAAGAAAATATTGTAATACCTTGGTTTTTATGTCTACTAATCGAAGAATAAAGTGGAGCAAACAGAAGTGTTCATGAATTTGGAGAATTTGAGTGAAGTTGGAAGTTGTATTAGAGAATAAAAAAAACCGAAAATAATTGCAAAAGTGCCTCAACTGTTTTAAACTAAAAATGAAAGAGAGAAAAGGTAAATTTTTAATTCAAAAAAAAATGAAAAATATTGCCATTGGAAATGAAGAGACATCCACTTTTTTTGACCTTCATCTCACAGGTGGGACTCAAATTTGACAGCTAACGGTCATATTTTTTCTTCAAATAACTGAAAATGTGCTCCAAATAAGGACGGTTGCAATCGTTCATATGCAAGAAAAGAAATAAAATGGTGGGAAGGAAAAAATAACCGCCCACTAGTATTATTTGTTGAATGTGACAATGATTTTTTATAACAAATTTTAACCTCATCGGAAGGGATGAAATGGAATTATATTAGGGTAATTAACATATAATGTCATCACCTTTCACTGTTATTGTAAAAAAGTCCTCACATTTCATTTTTTTGACATTTTCACCCTTATTTACATATTTCATTGCAAAAAAAGTCGTTTTCATCTTTTTTTAATTAAAAATTGTAAAATGACTAATATACCATTATCTTTAAATAAAAAAGCAAAAAGAAGAAAAAACTAATTGCAACCATAATCCCATTTTTTTTTAAAAAGTAAATGAATACCGAATAAATTATTAAAAGGGTAATTAGCACATAATATCATCACCTTTCACTATTTTAGCGGAAAATGTCCATACTTTTCATTTTTTTTTTTGGTTTTTTCACCCGTAATTACTCATTTGATTGCACAAACCATCATTTCTATCCATTTTCATCCAATTTCTCAATAAAAAGGCATGAAATGATGAATACGGCCTCATATTTAAATAAAAAAAATTAGATAATTAATTACAACCATAGTTCCAATTTTTTTTAAAAAAAAAAAGTGCAAAGGAGTTCGAAATAAATTATTAAAAAAATTAGAAATTAGTTTTTTTTTTTAAATGTACAAACGAGTCCCAATTAAATTTATTAAATAATTAAAAAAATTAAAAATTGTAAACGAATCCCAAATAAATTATTAAAAAACTAGAAATCTAAAAAATTAATTTTTAAATTTTTTTTTAATATAATAGGGTACATTCATCGTTTAACAGCTTTTTATTAAGAAATTGGATGAAAATAGATCAAAATGATGGTTTGCACAATGAAAGTGTATTAAGGGTGAAAATGCCAAAAAAATTAGAAATGATGATTTGCTCAATCAAATGTGTAATTATGGGTGATATTCGAAAAAAAAAAATGAAAAGTAGGAACGCTCCGCTAAATAGTGAAACATATAGACATTATGTGTTAATTACCCTTTTAATAATTTATTTGGGATTCACGTGCGCTTTTTTTTTTTAAAAAAAAATTGAGATTATGATTGCAATTAGTCTTTTTCTTTTATTTAAATAAAGAGGGTATATTCATCATTTTACAATTTTTAATTGATAAAATAAATGAAAATGACATTTTGCGTAATGAAATGTAGAAATAAAAGTGAAAATGTCAAAAAATGAATGGTAAGGACGTTTTTCACAATAACAGTGAAATGTGGGGACGTTACGTGCTAATTACCCAATTATATTGTGTTATATTGGATAGATATTAATTTTACTGTACAATAATTTATATTCAAAATAATCTTTTTACAGTTAATAAACTATGGACAGAATTCTGACTTGCGAAATGAACGAAATAAAACAGAATGATAATGGTCGAGGCAAGAGTTCAAATATTTCTCATTAAGACGATAATACCCCACACTAGTGCTAACTATCTTTCTACACTCGTCTCCCAAAATACAACAATCTCTGTTTGTAATAGGAGCACTTAAATTACAAGACCTGACGAACTTACTAATGTTACGATTCCTCTAAAACATAAGCACTTAAAATGTACAATAAATAATATTTGAGAGTAAAATGCACAATATAGAATAATGCAGAACGAAATGATTATTTTTTGCAAGAGAGAAAATCAGAAAATATTTTGAAATAAATAAAATCTGGTATATGAGGACCTATTTATAGAAGTTAAAAAATTGTGTCCAAAAAGACATAACAGTAAAAAAGTTGTATCGTGAACAGACACAACCCATTTAGACAGAGAGTTTAACAGTCAACCGCCGATTCTAGAAGACGCCACATATCACACACAGAAAAATTCGAGAAATCAATAAATAAATATATTATTTACTTGGCCAAACCCACGACCCAAGATCCGTGCCCGTGCCAAGTCGATCAGTCGGACGACGGCGCCCATGTGGGCTTTGGCTCAACCTACAACATGTCGGTCATCTCCCCTTCAAATACTATTGGTACCCTTGAGGCTAAACCCAAGTTCCAAACTTGAGTAATATAAAGCGGTTTCTACTCTTCTAATTTTCTTATATGGGATTCACATTTTTCAATTTTCCACCAATTTTTGTTCCTAATTTATTTCAATTTCAAATATCATTTTTTGACATTAATTTCTCATTCGCCCTAAATTGGTTTCGAGAAAATACATATATTATATTAATCTATTCGTGAAGTAGAATGTAATTTGCTAAAAAAAATCTTTTGTCCAACTAACGAGACTCATTTAAATAATTAATCAAAAGTTAGTCAAACCAACTAATTAAACTAATTTTTCCAACATGTTCATGAGGATGTTTTTCACCTCATCACTCGAGTTTGGGGAGAAAATATTTTTACTGAGCTTTTACAATTTTGAAGTGAAACTAAAGTCAATTGAAAAGATTGGTACATACTTCTTTTGTACTATATGAAATTCATCTCATACCTCAAGTAGGCAGAATAAAAAAGCTCACTACCGATATGACAAGAGAATTAACAGTGAGAAGTTTTTATCTTGTTCATTGAAGACAGAAGATTAAACATGTATATAAAAAATGATATATTTGATAATACCCATAATGAGGTTGATCATTCTACTGTGTTTGAAAACGTATTAAATCCAATTATTGAACGGCCATAAAATGTAATACTCGTAATTACCATGTTTCAAAATTTTTATATTGAATTATGTCCCCAACTTGTGTAATTCAAAGTGTCACTATATATTTAGAGAGATGCAACTCAAACAGGGCTATTGATAGGGATTTAAACAGGGGTTGAGGTGGATCCCTGTCGTAGCCCTTTTTTGAGTAGCATTAGTGATAGATTTAGCACATAG